CCAAGCTCGTAAACGGTAAAGTTGAGTACGTTCAGTTTAGAAATGTAATAGAAATTGGAGATGTCACCTCTAGGACATGGCATTACGGCTTGCAAATCGTAGGTGGCAGCTATACATTTATTATTTGTATTTTTTTTATCCAGTTCTTTTTCTTTCCTGACTAAGTCTTTTTCTTCTAGGTGAGAAAAATACTTGTCCTCTAATGGCTGTTTATCTTCTGCATTATCATAAGCTGCACAATCTTCACATTGGTCCTTTTTTGGAGACCAGAACGAAATATTATATTCTTTGCTAAATATATTATAATATATTTGATAGTCAGCATACGATCGACTTTCTGCTCGGCATTTTTCAACATAGTCTCTATGCAATTGCGCAATGGAAAGCCCTCCTTCAATATATTCTCGACTTGTAGTAGCCCGACAGTAATGACTCTCGATTCTAGGAATGGAATTGATGTGTTCTTTAATCCTTTCAATAACTGTGCTGTCAAGTTTATTGTGGTTTCCATGTCTCCCTCGGTTATCACCTGCTAGAAAACCTCCAACTACAGAGTTTTGCATATAAATCACCGTTCTTATTGGTCTATCTGATATGCCTAATGTATTTTTGAAAAATGTTTTGCAAACCCGGATATCTTCTTTGTCTACTTCAAAATAAAATGCGTGATTATAATCTTTTCTAGTACTTCCTTCACGAATATAGCGATATTTAGGTTTAATTGCTTTTACATATTTATTAATGAACTGACGTTGTTTTTCTAAGTCTGCCATCTTCCAGTAGTTCGAAAAAATAATTTGACGCTTTTCCTCGCTTATCTTATTAAAACATTTCAGTTTACACTTATCATTACAAGTTGGTTTTAATTCCCTTTCTTTCATTAGCTTTTTTGATTTAGATGACGATAAATACGCTTTTCCAGAGTTCCTTAATAGTTTTGCTTTATTTTTTTTCCATTCTTTGGGTACAGCTCTCCGTTTTCTTCCTTTTTTCTTTTCTTGTTCAATTTCAATTATTTTTTCTCGCCGATTACTCATTGTGATGCTTTCATCTTCAGATGTAGAAGATAATTCAAGATCTTTATATAAAAAATCGGGGTCATTATCGACATCATCAGATGAAAAGTCATTTTGACTATTAGAATATTCAGATTTAGAATTATCATCATTGTATTCTGAAGAACAATTAGATTCTGGAACTACTTTATTCAATCGTGGACGTTGAAGGTCAGAAAGTTGTATTTGGTTACTTGATACTGATTCTGAATAATTTACTGTAGGTTCCATATCAACATTATTTGGTCCAGGTAGATCATTCTTTATAAAATATGGCACAATTTGTGAATCCGAAACATAACTGTTGCTATTTAAATTTGATATATTATTAACATCGCTTTTTACAAGACTGCGAACAGTATCTAAAGGACTGAAAATGGGCTTATTATAAACAACTGGATTCTCTTGGTCTTCAGAGAACACCATTTTCAAAATTTGCGCACTACGATTCATCCTAAAAATAAATGAATATATTTATATAAAGATTTAATTTAAAAAAATACATTGTTTTTAAGTCCATTCAAAAACATTGCACTTTCAATTTTGTAAAATGCCTTTAAGTAAATATTGCAAAAGATAAATCTTTATTTAGAAAAAAAAACATGAACAATAATCTATTTTTTGAACCTTACAGTCATATTTCAAATTGTAACTATTTTCTATTGAATCTATTATATTACAGCTAAATGTATAATTATATAGATAAATGTCCTAAGTAGAAATCGGTCGCATTTCTTTCATATAATTTCTCAAATTGATGTCACATGTCAAAAAAATACATTCTTCTTTAAAACTTTTGGCACAACTAAAACCAAAATTAAATTGAAAAACGTCGTTTCTCGAAAAAATACATTATTTCGTAGATATTACTTACCTTTTACAGTTGTATTCAAGCACTTTTTTGGAAAATGTCACTGTTCTTGAGAAGCGTCCGTGTTCGCACGTTCGCGTTTGCGTTGCAAATGGCAGAGTGACGTTTTTCAACAATGAAAATGGCGAATTACCACAGAGTATCAAAATGACACTTGTGGCAGCACGGAGTTTTTGACGTTTAATTTGATGATGTGTCATTTTTCTATTAAAATACATACGATAAAAAAACGTTTTAACAGATAATATTAATTTACAATATTTTTGAGAAATGTCACTTTTCTATTTAACCGACGATATGTATGTTTATACTGAAGCATGTCGATCCATTTCAACAAAGAAAGAAAAACCGCTCTATCGAATTTAAAAAATATGTAAACCTATCTTCAGTTACCTTAGTGCATTGACCTTTATTGATTCTGCCTTGTTGTGATTGAAGCGAGTTTCAAAGGAACATGTCTAGGCGTCTAGACGGCAAAAAACGGACGTCTTACGGGAATGTAGCCGTCTGAGAGTACCTTTAGCAACGGGAGTTGTTCCAGCACTAATTAAATTAGATATTCAAACACAATGTAGGCGGGCGACTGGAAATTAATTTGGTAATTTGGTAGTCTGGAAAGTTTGAATTGTAACTCAAGCAATATTGAATTCAAATAATTCTATATTAACCTTTTTTTTTGAATACGTCTTTATGTAGCACGGTTAATAATGGGTTTAACCCTGTAGTGTGTTTAGTATTGGTTAAATTTGGCAGTTTTATTGTACTAACGACTGTCGGTCCTCGTGGCCTAAGGGATAAGACGTCCGTCCGGTGCATTCGTGTTGAGCGATGCACCGGTGTTCGAATCCCGCAGGCGGGTACCAATTTTCTAAAGAAATACGTAATCAACAAATGTTCACAATTGACTTCCACGGTGAAGAAATAACATCGTGTAATAAAAATCATACCCGCAAAATAATAATTTGCGTAATTACTGGTGGTACGAGCTCTTGTGAGTCCGCGCGGGTGGGTACCACCACCCTGCCTATTTCTGCCGTGAAGCAGTAGTAATGCGTTTCGGCTTGAAGGGTGGGGCAGCCTATGTAACTATACTTGAGACCTTAGAAATTATATCTCATGTTGGGTGGCGCATTTACGTCGTAGATGTCTATGGGCTCCAGTTAGCACTTAACACCAAGTGGGCTGTAAATAAAAAAAAACCTAGATGATTAGACTGCTTCGCCACACCTAGCTGTGTCTGCTAATAACGCGCCCTATCATCGTTAAGGAAGGATTTAAATTAATACACATAAAAAATTTACTAGTGAAATGGCACATCTTCAATGGTTCAGGAATTCATCATTCCAATTATTGCCGCTCTAATTCCCCGATCATGTGGAGTGCATTCAGTGAAAACATGGACGAAAAACATTCATTCGTTCCGCCACAACGTTCACACAGCTCGGTTATACACAAACGTTACTGTTTATAAGTGTTCACTTGGCACGCGCTCTCCTACTATTAGGTTAAGCGACGAACGATTTATGTTCGCGGCGATCTAATTACACGCAATCTTCGTTCAAACTAGGTTTCGTTACAGAAATAGTGTATAACAGTCGATCTGTTTGATACACGATGTATTTGTTTACTCGTCGGTTCGTTGACTTCTTCTTGTACGGGATTATGTCAGCGATCATTCAAAAATTTTTATTTATTGCTAAATTATTTTTTTCCTGCCTAAGCTGGTAGCCTTGAGAGGCTATTCCAGCGTAACCTTAACTAGTAGGTGAGCTCACGGGGCTCAAACCTGACGACGTTGCTAACACGAACCCTAGCAAGAGCCGTGCTTCGCAGAATCTACCACCGGATCGGAAACGCGACCCACTGAGAAGATCCGGAGAGAAACTCAGTGGGCTGTGTCTGAGGGTCAATTTACTCGTCGAGCCCTTCGTCGCAAGCGACGGGTTCGACGAGAACGGTGACCGGATTGCTTACTAGCGACCCGCCCTCGCTTCGTTTCGGAAACTGTAATTTATTATTGATTTCTTCACTATTTAATGGATGTTATAATACATATAAACCTTCCTATTCAATCACTCTATCTATTAAAAAAAACCGCATCAAAATCCGTGCGTAGTTTTAAAGATTTAAGCGTACATAGGAATGTAAGGACAGAGAAAACGACTGTTTTATACTATGTAGTGATATGGTCGGACGAGCTTACGGACCTGGTGCTAAGTAGTTAGCGGAGCCCATAGACATCTACAACGTAAATGCCGCCAACCCACCTTAAGATATGAGTTTTAAGGTCTCAGTATAGTTACAACGGCTGCCCCACCCTTCAAACCGAAACGAATTGCTGCTTCACGGCAGAAATAAGCAGGGTGGTGGTACCTACCGGTGCGGACTTAAGAGATGCCCTACCACCAGGAAATTTTTTAGGGTAGGTATAAAGTAACTTGGGTAGAGTAACTTATTTCATTTTCGCAAAGTAGTTATTTGTCGTCATCATCAGTCCTGTTTGGAAGACAGGATAGCCATTATACATTACGACTGAAACTTTTATAACCTTATGTCTCAAGGCGGGCCTAGGCGTTCGCTTTTTATGTGGGCGCCGATAACCAGCTAATACTCTGAATGGTCTAAGAAGCTGTTTGAGATTGTTCCATCTTCTCTTTTTTAACACTGTATTTTCCTGCTAAGTACCTTCCGGCTTTGGAATGAACTTCGGTGTTTTCTGAGCGATATGACATACCTTCTTCAAACGAGGCTTACGGAGAGTACTTCGCGGTAGTTGGCGGCTTCGCTGTGCCCGTGCCCGTGCCGTCTGTCGACAAGAGCAATAAAAATAGCAGCAAGTAGGCAGTGAGATCCGCCGTCTGCCTATAAATAGACCAATATATTTTAAAAGGTTTTAATGATAATCTAAGAAATGCCCAATTTTAATGTCGCTTGTGTGGATGAGGTTGAAAAACGAGAAATCTTGCATTATATAATAGAAATGAGCCTTGAATACCTTGCGATAGTTTTGGGAATAATTTAATATTATACCGGAAATTAAATGATTTCATCTTACCTTTTTGGCCTCTTTACAGTTCGAATCAACTGACGGAATTACCGCGTGAGGTGTGTCAGATGCCACTGCAAGTCCTCCTCGTGCAAGACAACTTGCTCACCACGCTTCCCAAGGAGATCGGTAAGATGACGTCACTGGCTGAACTGGACGCCTCCAGCAACAGACTGACGCAGGTTCCGATGACCCTCGGAGATTGTTCGGGTCTGCGAGCGCTCGACCTCAGTAATAATCAGCTGGGATTGCTTCCGTTGCGTGAGTATACGTGTTTTACATTGTGAAATGTGTATTTGTAATTCTAATTGCATTTGTTCGCTATGTTGTTCATCGCATCGTTGATCTAGTGGTAGGTCTAGTTTTTTTTTTTTAAAGTAAGAACGAATTGAATTGATACTCAGCAGTATACTAATTGAGATACATCGTCTTAATTTAGATGAGAAGAACCTCACTAACCGAATCTTTGACTGAATTCCACTTGACCGTCTGTTTTTTTTTTTTTATAAATAAATATTTACTAACAATCACGCCACGTTAACTGTGTCCCGTGATAAGTTCGTAAAGAACTGTGGTACGGGCTTAATATCCTAACGGAGTTAGTATCTGTGAGAATATTTTTGGTATTCGAGAATTGCGTGTATTTATTATAAACTCATGTGTATTTCCGGTATTCATATCATAGAAGGAAAAATATATTTTTTTTTTGTTTTTAAATGTGGATCGTTTTTGGAATGAGTATTTGTTTATATACACATCCTATGTTGATGTGACTTATAGAACGTATGCCGTAAAATGATGTCGTATAGACAAATAAGTTAAAGTGACTCATTAATTTTTTGGATCTGTTAAAACTTTTGGTTTTCTATAAAGGATACATTAAAAAATGATCTGAGTTATCAATTTATGTTTTATTCACATTTCATTTAAGGTCCGTGAATTCGTATCGTTATTTTTTTTGGCCCAAACTTTGTCTAACCTGGACAACCCTAATATCCTCTTAGATAATTGTTGATGAGTTTATGGAAGTAAACCACTGTAGGGGCGTACCTTAGAGTTGGTATTATCGTTTATCCAATTTTTACCAAAGTGTAGGTTTAATATTAAGAATATCCTATAATAATCTATCTATAAATATGCATAAATATATTGCTTGTTTGGTCTCAATGCGTTTCTGAAGTAATGGATTTGACTGTGATGGAACTTGAGACAGTTGTAGTTTGCAGTATAGAGTATGTTTCTGTCACAATCGACGTATGATAGGGTGATGTGCTTGTGATTTTAAGGAATAATGGCTTTTCCATACAATTAGCATTAGTCACATCGGAGCGTGATTTAGTTTTACGTTCATATAATAACAAACAGGAATAAATTATGTATTCTAACATGATAAATAAATAGAACTGGGAAATATTGTCTTGGTTTACCACAAGTTAATGACGTAATCTATAGGCTACAGGCTATTCTATTGTTTGTGTATTTCAAACAAAACCGTCTGAAGTAATTGTATTGTATATTATAATCGTTAAAATTCTCCATATTTGTATGGCTTCGGGCTAGGAATTGCTTGCACTATAGGTGTTTTTATAGCTATAAAGATCCACCTAAATCTGCTACATGGAGTATTAAATTGTGAAGGTCGCTGGCTATCTCATGATGTAAGAACAAAGTCACAGGTGCCTTAATGAAATGCCGTTTGTCTACTCTTCCAACTGAAAAGCATGATTACTTCGTGGTAGCAATGAAGGCTCGAAGGAGCAATGAACTTCGAACTTTACACCATGCCCATCAGCGCTTTAAGACATAAATTAGATCAGAAAATGATACGGATATACGAGTATTTGTGGTGTATTATTGATCTGACTGAATTTTCTCTTGGCCCGTCTGCTTTTAACACAGTCATATACATCATGATGTGAATACCATCAACTAGATATCGAAAGATCAAAATTTTTGAAGTTATTTTACTAGCGAAACTGAAACGAACGCCTACTTCGCGGTAGAAATAAGGAGGATTGTGGAGCCTATCCTGTTGGTCTCAAAATATACTTAACCAGTAATTACGCAAATCTATACATTTTTATAGCAGTTAGTGAAAATGTGCTAAAGACGTATTTCTTAAGAAAGAAAATATTTCCAAACTAAATTTTAAGTACCTCTGATCTTACACTTTGGTCATTTAACTAAGAACTTTTTTTTTATTTCTTCCGTTTAGGCAGACGCGCATACGGCCCACCTGATGGTGAGTGGTTACCGTCGCTCATGGACGCCAGCAATGCCAGAGCTAAGCCGCTGCCCACCGTTTAACTAATTGGAGATTTAGGTAACAGTTGCAGACAATAGAAAAAAGCTACAAAAATTTATCGATAAACTTATTACTACACTACCTGACTATTTCGGGGAGATTTTATAGGTGTAATAAATCAAAAAAATACGTGTTCTATAATTTCGTTAATACGTAATTCGTCTTTACAGAAATAACATACTTGCGTCTCGAATATTTGGACGTTAGCTGCAATTGCATATCGTCTCTGCCTCTGGAACTACGGAACATGGACACGCTGGTCACCCTTAATCTGGAGAACAATCCTCTTGTTTCGCCACCCACCACTGTGAGTACTGTTTCTCTCAAGTACTGGTTGAACTGTGTGAACGATTCTTTACGAACAATGTAAATACGAGGAATTCAGCGCATAAGGGAAACATATATACTTCTTACCGGTAAAACAGCGCGTTTTTTTTTATTGCCTAGATGGGTGAACTTTTTTTTTATTGATTAGATGGGTGGACGAGCTCACAGCCAATCTGGTGTTATGTGGTTATAGGAGCCCATAGACATCTACAACGTAAATGCCGCCACTCACCTTGAGATATAAGTTCTTAGGTCCCAGTATAGCTACAAAGATTGCCCTTCAAACCGAAACGGAATTAAAAGAATACCTCAAGTAAATATGCAATTTATAATTTTCGAAGTTAGATCTGCACGATTCGTGTAAACAATTTTGTCTTCAAATTAGATTATTATAATTAGAACAAAATTAGACTGTACTTAATCCTTTTAGTGCTGAACTTATTCTCGCATATTTTTCAGAAAACGATAAAGGATTTTTGAAAAAAGTACCTTTAAAAAACTGAAACTTTAAAAGTTTTTACTAAAAAACAATGTCAAATTCACAGCAAAATGAATTTAAATGGTTATTTATTGAATGTTATTTACTTATTAAAATCTTTGTACATGCGCACGCTAAGACACATATGTACGGTCGATACCTAATAAAATAATTTAACTGGGCAATAGTCGGTATTCCGACGCTCCGCACTTTCCACACATAAATAAGAGAGTCGATCTATCGACGGTTCGCGCTCTAAGAGTCGGAAATTCTTAAACTCACATTAATGTGCAGATACGCCAACCTTTGCGTGTTCCCACACTTGATTTGTTATTGTAATGACAAAAAAGAATTTTGTAAAGACGGCAGTCAAATCAATGTCACTTGAGTTTTTGTTTCAAACGAAACATTTCATAACAATGAACAAATATGATCGGAAAACAATATCTTGGTGTACCACAAGCCAGTGGCCTATCGTTACGTTTGTCGCTTACTTATCAGTCTGAAACGAATTTTATAATGAGTTTATAATATTTATTCAAAGTAATGAGTGTATAATATTTATTCAAAGAAGGAAATAAAAATTCAGTATGTACACTATTTATTACAAACTCTGAAACCATTTAAGGGGCATGTATGTACTCATCATTTTATTCAAATTTGTCGATTATCAAAGAATGAGTAAAACACGATTCGCTTCTTTTTTTTATTGATTAGATGGGTGGACGAGCTCACAGCCAATCTGGTGTTATGTGGTTATAGGAGCCCATAGACATCTACAACGTAAATGCCGCCACTCACCTTGAGATATAAGTTCTTAGGTCCCAGTATAGCTACAAAGATTGCCCTTCAAACCGAAACGGAATTAAAAGAATACCTCAAGTAAATATGCAATTTATAATTTTCGAAGTTAGATCTGCACGATTCGTGTAAACAATTTTGTCTTCAAATTAGATTATTATAATTAGAACAAAATTAGACTGTACTTAATCCTTTTAGTGCTGAACTTATTCTCGCATATTTTTCAGAAAACGATAAAGGATTTTTGAAAAAAGTACCTTTAAAAAACTGAAACTTTAAAAGTTTTTACTAAAAAACAATGTCAAATTCACAGCAAAATGAATTTAAATGGTTATTTATTGAATGTTATTTACTTATTAAAATCTTTGTACATGCGCACGCTAAGACACATATGTACGGTCGATACCTAATAAAATAATTTAACTGGGCAATAGTCGGTATTCCGACGCTCCGCACTTTCCACACATAAATAAGAGAGTCGATCTATCGACGGTTCGCGCTCTAAGAGTCGGAAATTCTTAAACTCACATTAATGTGCAGATACGCCAACCTTTGCGTGTTCCCACACTTGATTTGTTATTGTAATGACAAAAAAGAATTTTGTAAAGACGGCAGTCAAATCAATGTCACTTGAGTTTTTGTTTCAAACGAAACATTTCATAACAATGAACAAATATGATCGGAAAACAATATCTTGGTGTACCACAAGCCAGTGGCCTATCGTTACGTTTGTCGCTTACTTATCAGTCTGAAACGAATTTTATAATGAGTTTATAATATTTATTCAAAGTAATGAGTGTATAATATTTATTCAAAGAAGGAAATAAAAATTCAGTATGTACACTATTTATTACAAACTCTGAAACCATTTAAGGGGCATGTATGTACTCATCATTTTATTCAAATTTGTCGATTATCAAAGAATGAGTAAAACACGATTCGCTTCTTTTTTTTATTGATTAGATGGGTGGACGAGCTCACAGCCAATCTGGTGTTATGTGGTTATAGGAGCCCATAGACATCTACAACGTAAATGCCGCCACTCACCTTGAGATATAAGTTCTTAGGTCCCAGTATAGCTACAAAGATTGCCCTTCAAACCGAAACGGAATTAAAAGAATACCTCAAGTAAATATGCAATTTATAATTTTCGAAGTTAGATCTGCACGATTCGTGTAAACAATTTTGTCTTCAAATTAGATTATTATAATTAGAACAAAATTAGACTGTACTTAATCCTTTTAGTGCTGAACTTATTCTCGCATATTTTTCAGAAAACGATAAAGGATTTTTGAAAAAAGTACCTTTAAAAAACTGAAACTTTAAAAGTTTTTACTAAAAAACAATGTCAAATTCACAGCAAAATGAATTTAAATGGTTATTTATTGAATGTTATTTACTTATTAAAATCTTTGTACATGCGCACGCTAAGACACATATGTACGGTCGATACCTAATAAAATAATTTAACTGGGCAATAGTCGGTATTCCGACGCTCCGCACTTTCCACACATAAATAAGAGAGTCGATCTATCGACGGTTCGCGCTCTAAGAGTCGGAAATTCTTAAACTCACATTAATGTGCAGATACGCCAACCTTTGCGTGTTCCCACACTTGATTTGTTATTGTAATGACAAAAAAGAATTTTGTAAAGACGGCAGTCAAATCAATGTCACTTGAGTTTTTGTTTCAAACGAAACATTTCATAACAATGAACAAATATGATCGGAAAACAATATCTTGGTGTACCACAAGCCAGTGGCCTATCGTTACGTTTGTCGCTTACTTATCAGTCTGAAACGAATTTTATAATGAGTTTATAATATTTATTCAAAGTAATGAGTGTATAATATTTATTCAAAGAAGGAAATAAAAATTCAGTATGTACACTATTTATTACAAACTCTGAAACCATTTAAGGGGCATGTATGTACTCATCATTTTATTCAAATTTGTCGATTATCAAAGAATGAGTAAAACACGATTCGCTTCTTTTTGTTATTGCTTAGACGGGTGGATGAGCTCACGGCCCACCTGATGTTAAGTGATTACCGGAGCCCATAGAGATCTACAACGTAAATGCCGCCACCCACCTTGAGACATGAGTTGTAAGGTCTCAGTTTTAACAGTACAACAGCTGCTCCGTCCTTTAAACCGAAACGCATTACTGCTTCACGGCAGAAATAGGCAGGGTGAAAAATAAACAAATGCTCACAGTTAGGTACCAACACTCTGCCTATTTTAGCCGCGAAGCACTAATGCGTTTCGGCTTGTTCGCTGGGTCAGTCGTTATATTAAACACAATTGAGATTCAGTCCTCATATCACAAGGCGGGTGGCGGCCTTTACGTAGTGAGGTCCATTGGCTTCGCTAACGGTCTAACACCAGGTGTTAAAAAAAACTGAAGCACTTTTTCGCTTTGAGTATTGTGAGGTAGATCTGTTTGTTAACATTATCCGCATGCGACCTTCCGTACATTGATGGTACATATAAACCAGACCAACCTTGCTTAAAGTGTCATTTACATTCAGTGTATTCATAGTAAATTTGCTTTAGACACTATACGAGGATGACATCTTTTTCAACTAACTCCATCAGACGTAGGTACTATGAATGCAGAATAACTGGTTTAATTTGTTTTTAAATCGTTTGCCCATTAAAGCAATTAGTTTCTCCTTATCTTTTATAAAAATAAAATAACGTTTTAAATTTGAGTCGTCAGAAATGCCAGTTTATGTTCCAAGTAAATCTCTTCTGTGTGGGAAGAATCATCAAATGTCACCTCCTTTGTATTGCGCAACCGCTTTAGGGAGTTTATTTTGGTTTGCTTATAGCATAGATGTTATAGATTGTGATTGTAGAATGTCTCATGACACCTGATCCGATATTAACTACATATTTTTGCAGCGAAACAGTAATGTGTTCTGTTTTGAAAGGGACAATTGAGTTATCACTGAAGTCTTCAAACAAAGTGTTCTTCTGTCTAAGGAAATTTATGATCTGATGATATTAAGTGGTTACCGGTACACATAGACATCAAAAACGTTAACGTCGCATTGTCACGTTAGTTCTAAGTCACAGTAAATGCGCCACCCACCTTGAGATATAAGTTCTAAGGTCTCAGTATAGTTACAACGGCCGCCCTACCCTTCAAACCGAAACGCATTACAGCTTCACGGCAGAAATAGGCAGGGTGGTGGTGGTACCTACGCGTGCGGAATCACAAGACTCCCCACTAACAGCATTATAAATTTATGTTAATAATTCGATTTACAGGTATGCATGCGCGGGCGCGTGCACATCTTCAAATATTTAGAGAACATGGCGAACAAAGACACGTTGCCCTCGCACAAGAGAGTCGAAGAGACCCGATGGTCGACCAAACATAACTCGTACGTTATCAGCTCGCCCACCCAGAGCGTAACCCATCAGATTACCTCCGGCAACGCTACTATAGACTGCCTCAGGCATAAGCCGCGACACGTCGTGGACAGCGGCTACTGTACAGACGGAGTTGATAAACGGTGGTCGAATGATGGTGAGTCCTTTATTCTTCTTTTTTTATTTATTGCTTTTAAGGGGTGGACGAGCTCACAGCCCACCTGCTGTTAAGTGGTTACTGGAGCCCATAGAAGTCTACAACGTAAATGCGCTACCCACCTTGAGATATCTAAGTTCTAAGATCTCAGTATAGTTACAACGGCTGCCCCACCCTTCAAATCGAAACGCATTACTGCTTCACGGCAGAAATAGACAGCGTGGTGGTACCTACCCGTGCGGACTCACAAGAGGTTCTACCGCCAGCAAATTATATTTTTGCGGGTTTGATTTTTATTACACGATGTTATTTTCCTTGACCGTGGATGTCAATCGTGAACATTTGTTAAGTACGTTAGAAAAATTGGTACCCGCCGGCGGGATTCGAACACCGGTGCATCGCACCTACGAATGCACCGGACGCCTTATCCTTTAGGCCACGACGACTTCTAAATCTTCGATTTCTACGACTTCTTCTTCTTCTGCACTCGAATGTATAGCGTTGATGTGTTCTTTGGTTTAAACGAATTGAAGACTACTGCAGATTTGGATTGCGGATTGGGTACTCTGAACGATGCCGGGAACTACTCAACAGCAGCTGAACTTTAATATCGCAAACAAAGAAATTTTTACAGTGATAATCTAATTTAAAAAAGGAACACATTTGAAATTAAATTAAACATAATAAATTGTTCCAAATATATGTTATAATATTTTCTGTAAAGAGAAAAAAGCTTAAAATGAAATCAGTTTCATTATGACACGTCACTGATATTGTTACACTATGACGTCATTAATTGATCGTTTTTCGTGAGACTGCGGCAGTAGCCAAGCTGAAATATCTTTCGCCTGTTATTATAGCATTGTGTAACAGTTTTTCCCACATGTTACAGTTAGAAAAAATTCTTATTATAAAATATTATCCAACATTTTCCACATTTTTTGTTACCCTAAACATTTTTAAGGAAATAAACATTAAAGCAAAGGTACATACATGCTGGTTTTTTAAATTAGCGTACAAGAGATGTTGTGATCTAAAAAGCTTTCAGGATTCTCTTAAGACATCAAAACTATAATTTACAAATTCCCTCGCTCCCAATTCCCAACATGTTGTTGCTGTCCCTGAACTTAGTGTCATATAATAAGCGATGCGTTGACATTTTTATTACCGGAAACTTTACGAAATTGGCACCGTTATGTGAGACCGTATATTGGGTACGAATCCATTAATGACATTTTATGGGTTCGTTCTGGTGTGAAACATGGCCTATGATTCGTTCGAGCCTAAATCAGTGACTAAGTGTGCTGTTAATGGAAGTGGAAATGAGAATTAAATTTAATAGAAAAATCTAAAATTTTTCCTAATGTAGTATTGATACTGTTTTTTTGTTGTAATTTCAAATGCATTCAAAAATACCGCACTTGTGACAAACTTTGAAACAATCAAACCTAAGTTTGAATATAACATAAGTTTGAATGAGTAGAGTGATTCACGTCACTTTACACGTAATTCATCGGATCATACCGATCCACTAACGGTGCTTTTAGATACCTCAAGCACCGGTCACCGTTGTCGTCGAACCCGTCACTTGCGGCGAAGGGTTCGTCGAGTAAATTAACACATAAACACAGCCGACTGAGCTTCTTGCCGGATCTTCTCAGTCTCAGTGGGTCGCGTTTCCGATCCATTGGTAGATTCTGCAAAGCAATGCTAGTGTTATCAACGTCCTCAGGTTCGAGCCCCGTGAGCTCACCAATTCGCTCGGTTACGCTGGCACAGCCACTAAAGCGGGGGTTCCCAAACATATTTTGTCTACTGCCCACTTTGAGAATAAATTATTTTTAGCGCTCCCTACTACCTACCTACCTACTTAAAAACCACTATAGCGAGAGCTCAGTCGGTGTCTAAGAGTCCTCCTACATGAAGCTACAAATCGTCTCCCAAGCTGCTACACAGTGCCTGCAATTTTTTTCTGGGTGTCTTACCGCTCCCCTTTAGGCCTGCAGCGCCCACAAGGGGGCGTTATTGCCCACTTTGGGAAAGGCTGCTCTAAAGGCTACCAGCTTAGGTTGAGAAAAACAATGACTTGTTTAAATCTGATAATCTGCATTCTAATTCGGGATGTGATCTTGTAATGTACGTGATGCTCGATAGCGGGCGGCGAGGCAGGCGGCGGGTCGGGTCGCTCAACGCCGAGCACCCCATCGACGCTGTCCCCGGGGACCGCCCTTTCTCGGGCGCAGTCCCTCTCCAGTGAGACTCCTCTGGCGAACCCCTCGCCTCTGCTCTCCGGGTGAGTTCAAATGCTTAACAGGGCAACGACGGGTAATATAAGTATGCTTTAAACTTAAATGCGTTCCGAATTATGTTAGCATAATAAATGGCTTTCACAAATAAACTATAGTTGTGCCCGCAATGAAGTCAGTGGGAGACGCATTTCAGTTCGGCACACTCTTATGACGTGCTATGTAATAAATGTAAGGGTTATTGTGGTGAACTTTTTTTATTGTAGGCTTGAATGCAATTTATCGCTGTAGTGTTTAAGGTTATTATTTAAAATTTAAATTTGAAAACTGTAGTTAACTTACTCTTTAAAAAAGCTGTTGATGATTTTTAGTATTCATAAATAGGCATGTTGACTGATTTTTAAATATCTTGTTTTTGTCTCGTGGAAATGTTAAATATAGATGAAAGCATACAATATAACAAAAAAATGTGTTTAATTATGAAGGTCATAAGTTTTTTAATTTTGTGTTAGAGAGGACACCACAGTGACTAGTAACGTTGTGGGAGGTATACGACAAAGGGAAGATCTTTCACTGAGAATGTGAAATTGCTCGGTAGATCGATTATATAACATAATATATGTACAAGCTTATCTTGAAAATGTCAGAAGCGAGATTCAGACATCTATCTGTGCTGTGTGATGGCTACTGCCACAAACAACGTTATAACAAAAGTGTGTCCCAAAAACATTCTAATCCTAATATTCGCTTGAGGGAAAAGGACAGACCATCCGTTCTCAATAAATTTCAAATTTGTGTTCAATAAATAATGGCTTCAATCGCTTGTGTCTCTTGAGTTATATGAATATATTATAATTGATGTTTGTTCATATAGAGGAAAATATATATGTCAACTAACTTACATGATTAGTATGCGAAATGTGGTTAATTTATTTATTTACTAACCGAAGGTACTAAGATAATCCATTGGTCTTGCACGAGTATCACATATATGCACGTTTTGTGTGTACTATTTAAAATCATTTATAATAAGAAAGTGATTCATGATTTTTTTAGTTAACTATTTAACTGCAGCCTTATTTTCGATTTCTTTATCGAATTGTGAGATTTAAAGTTTTTATAATATCAAATTCATGTGAATTTGATTCGAAGTAATCGGCAATGAGATAATGTAATTTTTACTAAGATTAATTATCTGAAACATGAATAAAACAATGAAAATTTAAAAGCTTCGTAACTCACCATCAATTTAAAACTTTCTTTTCAGACAATACAAAGAAGCCCTAAGACAGCAACGCCAGCAAGACATATACCGTCCCCGCACAGAACAGTCCTCCCCCGAGTCGGATTCCCCCCACCACCTCAGCCCCCTCCACCACAATTCCTCTCCCCATCCCCCGATAAACGGCTTTGGCAACACCTCCCCGAACCTCTACCGATCGATTTCTTCCAATTCCAGTGCTTCCCCGAACACCTCACAAGTGCCAAACTCGCCCCTCTTACACTCGACCCCGCGGCGGTACCAAAACGGAAGCACCGATAAACAGGAAGAGAACAAAAGGCCAGTCCAGAAGGTGGTCCCGTCGAGGAACGTTGCCAAAGTGTCCGCCGTCAATGGTAATGCGGATTACAATCGCGTGAACGGTCAGCTCGAAGCTTACGTGAAACCTAGTTCCCCCACCAAGTCTCCAACGAACACTTTAGGCTACAATAGCTTAGGGAAGTCCAGTATACCGAGGCAAGTGAACGGAGACAGCGCGAAGTCGGTCACGACTTCCGTAACGCAAGTGAGAGGCATGATACCGCAGCCCGTAGGCAAGATGGCGTGGAACAAAGAGACCAGCGCTGAGAAATTAAGTTTCACCATGAAGAGGGAATTCGATAAGCAGAAGGAGGAGTCGGATCTGATAGAGCAGTTGAGGACGGTGAGTGGTTTTCACTTTCAAAATCAATCTGCTTTAAGCTCATAAAGCGTATCCAGTATTTTCCAGTTCACCTATTCCGGCTGTGCACTCATATAGAGATTGCAAAGCCAAGACCAATAAAATTAAATGTATTTTTTTATCTCGATGACTCCAGTCAGGATATTAAAGCCAAAGTAATAAAACTATTGTGTCCTCATCTTAGTTAACTAGACCTCTGGAATTTTGTGAAAATTTACGTTGAAAGGTTCCGTAACAGAAATAGATAGATAGAATTTTCTTTATTATACACCAAAAAAATAAATAAACAATGCGATACATTAAATACAAAAAAAAGTACGATTGGTGGTCTTATCGCTAAGAGCGATCTCTTCCAGACAACCATCAGGTGGACAAGAATCGTTAGAAACGAATTACGCGCGTTGTACCAATTTAGTAAAATATATACACGCACGCACACACACACACAAATATATAATATTATTGATTAGATTTGATGTTTACAGATAATAGAGAGCCGACTGAAGATGTCGCTACCGGAGCAGATAGCGCCAGTACTCGCGGACGGCGTCGTCCTGTGCCACCTCGCCAACCACGTGAAGCCGCGGGCCGTGGCTTCCGTGCACGTGCCTTCACCGGCACAGGTAATTTAATCGAATTAAATTAAACAGTAATAGCCCAGTAGTCGAAATTCGACTATAATCAATTGAAATTATAAGTTTGAAAATCATTATTGTTCTATTGTCATATACTACTTCTATAATCACAGATTTAGCTAAGGTTAAACTATAGACAAATAATATTAAAGAAAAACAATATTAATCTATTCTCAATTTCACCATAGACTTAGATAGAGATTAGACTAACAATAACAAAAGTTTGAAAACAAACAAAGAGTATACTGGGTGTTAGGAGACCGCTTCCGAAAACTAAGACAGACGATAGTACAAGTGACACCTTTGATGATGGGACGGAAAAAAAGCATATTTTTAAAACTTTTTATTAGCATTGTTTACGCTCCATCATGTTAGTATAGCTAAATGATGATAGTTTCATAAAAAATACATTACTTTACTTAAAAAAAAAGCAATGAAACACAAAATCAAAAACAGCTGATGCTCGGGTCAACGAACGCCCGGGCGCGGCGCTGATACCGCGCTCCCCAAAAATTTACATCTTTGTAGGTACAAAATTTGCGCAATTTTCGTAAAAAGGGGTACAAAGTTTTTGCTTCACATATTAATATATAGATAGTTAAAATTAATAAACTTTATTAATGTGTCACACAACTATGGTGTCAGAGTTTGTTAAATTTCAGTTTTAACATAGCGATTCTTCTTTTAGCCCAAATTGACAATGGCAAGATGTAGGAGGAACGTAGACAATTTTATCGAGGCCTGTCGGAAAATTGGCGTCGAAGAGGTATGTTATGTAGAATATAATTTTGTCCGTTTGAAAATTATTCGTGTTTTTCAAAGATTTTACTGTGTGTATTAACAATAAAAATCCGATATACGTTTGCATATTTCCGTTTGTACAATGACGTCATTGTTCGATGTACCGCGACATCGATGGTAGAGTGACTTGACTAGTCGCTTATAAGTTTCGTAACGATAATACCGACGGGAGTGTCCCTCTGATATTGTGTGGAAGTATTGAACTGGGGCCGTCGGGTCGGGGGGCGGGGGGAGGGCGGCAGCTAGATGACCGAGTGCGGTGTGTTGCAGACGGAGCTGTGCGACGCGCGGGACGTGTGCGCGGGGGAGGGGCTGGCGCGCCTGGCCGCCGCCGTGCGCGCGCTGCACTCGCTCGCCCCTCCGCCGCCCGACCCCCCCGCCCCCCACCACGTCGCCCCCTACGCGCGCGACGAACTCGTCCGCTACGACAGAGAAAAGATGAAGCTCGTTTTAAAGGACAACCTGAACGAACAAATCGAGCCGCTGACCGAAGATAAGGAAAGATTCTATTATACTTGCCTCTGTCTAGGCACGTTTTTCGTGTCGACATTAATATTGATCTTGTATCCCCTGTAGATGTAGATTTAACGCGGACATGAATGTAGTAGCTTGATTTCTCGTAGTGTTTGTCGTTTATTTTGAAGACAAAAGCGACGTATTGTAGTACCCTGTGAAAGAAATATTTACTTATACAAAATGAGATACTTAACTATATAAAAATAAAATTGGTTGAGGAAAACATCACGACATTCAACATAGTGAAGAAGTTTTTAAGGAAATGTATTAGGATTGAACGACGCTGTGTTGAACGGAGCTTACAAATATTTGCCTTTGGTCGCAGTCTGACTGTGCCTTGCGGTCTGAAATGAAATTTTGAGGCCGCACACGCGCCTTGTCTTTTGAGGCTGAATGAATGGAATTTGTTGGATGTGTACGGAACCGTTTGAATGTTGAATGAAAATGTTGCTTGCAAAAAAAAAAAGAAGTTTGAAGTTCGGAATGAACTGTGTGAAGTTTGTAGTGTTTTGTTTTTGAGATTTCGTTTAGATCATAAAAAGAAAAACGGATTTTATTCTGTAGAACACGTTCGTAATTTCAACAGTGATTACAAAAAAATCTGAAAATTAATTCGAAGATTCATTTTGTAAGAAATAATATTGATGAAACATTGTGCATTAAAACGGGGATTCCCCAAGAGTCGAACGGGATCAATTTTAATAGATAATCGAGTGAATATTAAAACGAACTTAAATGAAATGTTTAGTAAAGATCATACATTCAAACATCTGTTTTTCTTTTTCTTTTTATGAACTGATTGATACTAAAGAAACCCGCCTTGTAAATTATATCTTAGTTACCGAAAATGTATTAATTCGTCTGTTTTATTGATTCCATTGTTTTGAAGTTCATTCCTTTGTGGGTGCATTTAAAATTATTTTAGAATTTAAGTTTTAGGAGCGTTGATTATTTCCCGACAAGGTTGCACAGAACACAGATAATAAATAAGGTGAGAAGCATAAATAATGTTTTTATACTAATTTTTTGTCTCCTATTTTTCGGGTCGCAAGACTAATTTCATATCAATTATTTTTAGAAACTTTAACCTAAAAATTGGCAGCATTTTATATAGTAGATTAATACCAGCTACAATTTGAAATACCGAAATTATGAATATGCTGTCTTATGCCTGTAATGTGTAATGTTATCACCGACAATGATCAATAATATTTAATTTTTATTAACACAAAAAAAAATACCGGACTCATTCACTTAGTCATCTCGATTTCTCCTGAATGCTAAGATTTACACAATTGAAATTATGCTAATAAATTAAAATGCCTTTGGTTAATGCTAATAAATTAAAGGTTATTAAAATCGAAAACAATTTCTGCATTATCCATATTATTATTGCTTTTTAATGGAATCCCTATATTTCAACCAACGTATTTCTAATTTATAATAGGTAACCGTGAAAGCTTAAGACAACGAAACCTTACATTAGATAATAATGGTGTTTCACAAGATGGCGGCGCGTTGTATCCCAATTTGGTCACATTCAAAGCAACCAGTATAATCTGTAAACCTTGTCTGGTAATGAACTTGGCTCTCTGTTCGCCACTAGGATATGATTAGTGTGGTTTTGTTGTGTTTTTGTAATAATTTGAGTTTTTTTTTATTATTATTATTAGTAAAGTCATAAAAATCAGTGCCTTTGCGCATTAAATTATTCCACAAATCGAAATCACAAGACTGGGTGTTGTAGCGTTTGTAAAACTTTTGAAATTCAGTGTGTACGTATATTTAATGATTGGTGTTTTGTACGTAAGTAACTTTGAAAATTATCCCCTTTTTTATTCGAATATGATCTTCATATATTGCCAGTAAATAAAATCACAATAATAATAGTAGGTATTTATGAGCATCGAATAAAATTTAGTGTGATCAGAGGAATGATTCAAATCTCCACTAATTATTAAAAATTAAAAATAAGACATTCTTCACTTCGAAGACATTTGAAAGACAAATTGTACTGACTTGATATTTCTTAAAATATATTACTTTGTCTTTATTAAACTCTTTCGGTTGAAACTTGTGCTGGTTTCATTTTGCCGAAGGACATTCATACTTAACTTTTGCGTAGTAAAGCTTATTATTATGTAGACGTTGGTCGTTTAGATCCTTTATTTCGTAGATCTCAGTTTTTTTTTTTTTGTTGCGTTTGTTTATTATTTGCTCGGATTTTTTATTTAATTTAAAACAGTAGTTGATTAGTATTTTGTTGTAAATTCTGTAACATTTTTTGTAATATTTAATTTAGGGTAAGAGACACATTATAAATGTTTTTTTTTAGTGCACCAGTGTAATTTAAATATATTTTATTCAACTATTATAATAACGTACTTGAAACAAACTGATTTTTTTCTTCTGATTTATATATACGGTGGTAACATTTGTAAAATAAATTAATTATTCATAATGTTAGAAAATTTCAAAATATTTCAAGTAAAATCTTTTGAAGTGTAATTTTAAAGACATGGTTTTTTATTTTTACTTGAACAGTTTTTTTTTATATTTCGTTAGTTTGATATTGGTATTAGTTTACGGCTATCAACTACGTATTTAACTATACAAGGTGTGAATACGTTGACAAAGAATCTATAATTAAAAGAAATGTAATCGTTTCGACTGACAAATACGGTCACTCATTCATATTTTAACATTTAAATAAATTTTACAAATAAATTAAAAAAAAAAAAAAACTACGCGGTATTGTATATGCTTGCAATATGTCAACTTATTTGCGCCTTGCTTATACGTAATATAGATGTTACGGTAAATGTACTACACTCTTGGGAAATGTACACTTCTACCGGTAAATGTGCACATTTGCCAAAAAGTTAGATATATGTGAACTGAATATAATGTATATGTACATTTCCTGGCAAATTTATACTCTTACCTTCGTGTTTGAAGAAAAATTGGATTACAAATAAATTAATGTTTTTGCAGTAAAAAAATATTTATTTAAATAAACATAATACAAAACGCTTTAATAACGAAAATTATTTTAATAAAAAAATGTAAATGACAAACAAAACATACTTTTCTTTGCATAATATTTAATATGTCGTAGGTTAGGTTAGGTTGTAGTGTGTGTATGCGCATGCGCATCCCATTACTAGCATTTGAGATTTCGTATTTTGTATGCCATGCTCACATTTACCAAAACGACATGGTCATTGTCAATTCAATGTACATTTCCCTTCTTTGAAATTGTAAATGTTAGTTGAATGCACATTACCCAAACGAGGAAGCAAATGTGCACATTTAGCGGAAAATGTGTACATTTGCCGCAATATTTACTTTTATCGTAACATATACATACTGACATGACAGAATAACTGTCAATGTCAACATAAAAATAAATAAAAAAACGAAACAATAGAGATAAACTAACAACAGTGTTTTGTATATTCAATTTAAAAAAAGAGATTTTTCCATTTTGAAACGTAGAAGTAAGAAAATAAACAAAAGCGACTTTAAAATTCTGCTGACATCTTCAGAACACGCACTACATGTATTCAAAGCACTATTTATAAATATAAAAACAATTATATATTGATATAATAAAAATACTATATTAACATAATATTATTACAAAATATATTATCTTATGAAATAAGATCTGTAATGCCTTAAACGTGACGTCATATCGTTATTGTATTACTAATACAAAAATAATAGTGAATAAATTATAAGATCCTCTAGCAAACAATCAACAAGAATAAAATGTAACTCTATATTGAAACAACAAAAATAAACTAACAACAATAAGCGCTTAAAAAAATTTGATTAATTCATCTATTTTTTTACAATTGGTTGAACATTACCAAATGTAAAAAATAGATGAATTAATTAAAATGAATATCTAATGGTGAATATTCCACTAGATATTCGTTTGATTCCTATATCATATTGGTTTTTGTAACTATCGTAATTTTTTTGAATTGAATACAATTTTTATTAAATTAGTAATCATTAGATTGGAGTGATATAAGTGAGTCGACTATTATCAAAGCCGGCAAATGTGACTTTTGGACAATTATTGGTAAATCAGAAAAACGAATTATTGACTTTGTATTCCATTGGCAGTCACAAAACTCTTCTGAACGACATCTTAGATAAATAACAGGTTAAGTATTAACCTTTATTTAATGCAGGTTTTGAACCGTATTCTTTGAAGGAGACGATTATATTCAAATCAATCTGTATTGACATATCAATAACATTNGGACAATTATTGGTAAATCAGAAAAACGAATTATTGACTTTGTATTCCATTGGCAGTCACAAAACTCTTCTGAACGACATCTTAGATAAATAACAGGTTAAGTATTAACCTTTATTTAATGCAGGTTTTGAACCGTATTCTTTGAAGGAGACGATTATATTCAAATCAATCTGTATTGACATATCAATAATTTTTTTTTTGTCCAAATGCACAGATTGTCTCCTTTGATAATAGACGACTCAAGTATAGTTTTAGTAAATATACGAATACGGAGGCTTGTACGACACAAAAATACATTTGTGGCGGTCTGGGCAAAAGTAACCTAACCCACAATTTTTCATATTCGTGCTTATATACCTATATTGCAGATTTATTTAAAACATCATAAATTTTCAAAGCAAAACCGGCTTATCCCTATTTTGACCCCTAGATAACAGATGGCTTGTGAACATTTTTTTGCGCGTATTATTTTTGCTTACGAAGCAGTTTAAAAGTAAATTCGAACCTCATTATCTTCATACTATGGTAAAATTAGGCCACTTTTGCGCTGACAGCCTCATTTTTAACTTTACATTAAAACGTAGTATTCCTAAAAGAGGCCAACACATAATTATTTTATGAATATAAAGTCATATCTATGAATACAAGACATGGATTCAAATTCTATCATATACAAATATGTATTTACATTGATATTTTTAGCATTCCAAAGATGTTTTTTAATGGAAAGGATGGCTCTGTACATAATTTTAGTTATTTATTTTGCATTTTATATGTTTAATGCATTTGTCAATATACATTGCAGTGATGATTGTTCGGTTAACTGATAATTAAACATGTGTCAACTGTATTTATTAAATCTCTTATCTGAGGATGTATTGCCCGATAATTAGGATAATAAAAAAAAAATATTGTCATGTCAACAGAACACATTAGTGTCGATAAACATTGATAACTCACTCACTCAAACAGTTCTTGTAGAGCTAATTAATAGCTAAAGATTTCTATTGCCTTCTATATTAAATACCAGACCAAATATAGATCGTTTATTACAATGATACAGCAATTAGAATTGGCTGAAAATGTATTATAAATATTCCATTACATTTTTGTATAGTTACACACAATCTTGTTATTAGTAAACAGAATTTATTTATTAATGTAATTTTTTTTTCACCATTCCTTTTTTTACTTTTTTTATATACTTAACACATGTTGGGCATATCCTTAATTCACTAGCGACACACAAAAACAATATTATTACAATCATCGTGGCATTACACTCACGATAAAAAATAGACAGGATTATTAATATTATAGTCAAATCTAGTTTCATATTCCGAACAAGCAGAATCAATTAAAGGTATATATAAGTTTCTTCCTCCCAATGGAATTTATGAACATTTTTTGTGGCTACTAGGAATTTTTAAAATGCATTTTCAACATTGGAATTGTGGCAGCTGATCAATAAAAATTGTATATTGTATTGTAATTTTGTTAATAATATTTTTCAGAGCTTTTAAGTTTAAGCTTATTCTGAGCTTTAAAGTATTGTACAATTCTAATCTAATTAACCTAGTAGTTTTATTAAATATGATTAATATATTGATTGCAGCTTATAGCGTAATATGTTTTTAGATTTGTGGTGCTTGGGTACTTATTCGTTTATAGTATTTAAAACGATTTTTTCACTTTTGTTGC